GCGGACTGTACATGTTGGTAGAATGCTACGCTGACAGACACTGTGCGTTTTGGCTTGACTCTACCACACTACCTACGAGCTACTCTCATTTACACTACACTACATATCCAAGTACCGTACTTTCCCATGTTATGTTCTTTTGATACTTTGTGTTCACTTTATTTACCTGCTACCGTCATGTTTTTCCCCCTAGCACCTGGGTCTGCAAACTTGAGTCCAACCTCAGTCCTCCCTCACCCTCCTGGTGAGGGGGGCTACCATAACACCCTGGTGATGCTGAACCATCTGACAATCTCCTATTATTGTTTTGCACTACTGTTACTGACTGTACACGGTTTTGAGTCACAGATTATTGGCTTTACCGTTTAGATTTATCCTAATTACATTAATCCAGTTCTTATTCTATTGTATTGCATTGTATTCTATTTTAGTTCCTAAATGTTATGGCACCCAATACTAAGTGAGAGAGAAATGGCATTTCGATTTTCTGTATGTCCTGCACATATGATTAATTGACAATAAAATCCTTGAAACCTTGAACAATACTGTTGTCATTTTTTTTTACCAGTGGGCATGATGTAACAATAAACACACAAATTTCACCCACCAATGTCCCAGTTACTCTCCTACAGTATTTAGTATTACTGTGAGTAGAGTATAAACAAGCTCTTGGCAGTGAATTTTGAAGAAGGAAACAAAATTACAACCAGATGCAGTCTACAAGTACACACTCACATGACAGAATAGCAGCGGTAAGCTAAACAGTGAGAACGCAAACATACACAAGGCGCAGAGAGGAGGAAAGAGGAGCAGACAGATCAACAGATGTGTGATGAGCCAATGCACTAGAAAATAAATAAATAAAAATTAAACTTCTGTTGATTCCTCAAGTGAAAAGTAAATTCTTCTGAAGGGCACCATGGATTTTGATATAAACTAGAATTACCGGTTTGTAGTTGTATGCCTCCACCAACCAGTCAAATTCAGGGGAATGGGATGGACATGAGGTTACGGCAACCTTTGACCACCAAAATCTAAGCAGGTCATCCTTGAATCCAAGTGTATATTTGTGCCAAATTTGAAGAAAGTTCCTTAAGGCATACCTGAGATATCGCATTCACAAGAAGGGGCAGACCGTCAGATGGACAAACAACCCGAAAACATAACTCCTCCAGCCATGACTATCACCGGTGTGGTGGCGTATAAAATCAACCCAACACAACTTCACAAATATACACAAATTTTAATGTGCACATACTTATATTGTTTTCTGTATCTCCAAGGGTTTGAGTGTCGGTTTGCGGATGTGTCTCATCATGGCTCCTGGTTGGCTGGGTTTGAAGGGGGCCTGGACTCCGTAGGGTTTGGGCAGAGGGAGCAGGTTGGTCTGGGGAATGTACGCATTGGGGCGAATTTCAGCAGTGGTGTACTCTCCATTAGGCAACTGGTTCCATTCCTCTTCTTTAGCCAGCTGTGCAGAGACACACACACACAGACACACACTCATAAACAGTTTTAATATTAGATGTAGGACTCCATGACCTTAGACTAATTAGTTAAAATTTAATTTTCCTGAATTTTAATTATCAAAATTGAATAATTCTTTAAAAAAAAACTCAAAACCAGTGCAAGGGCAGCAGTGAAAAGTTGAGCTCAATAACGAAAGGCTGATTAAGTTAAAGCTGATTAAAGTTCTTGGTGGTGGTGGTGGTGGTGGGGGTTCTTCTGTAATTGAAAAGACACATTAGAGAGATTAATGATTACAGAGATGCATGGGATTTTGTCTTTTGGAGTGAAATCGTAGCAGAAAATAGTACGCTGCACAAACAGTTTATACAAGTAATACTGTATATCATAAAATGATGTCCAAGGGATGTCACAAGCTACAAAAAAATTAAGCTAGAAATAAAACTAAAATATGATAGAAGGCTGACAGTGGCTGGTGAAATTGGCTTGAACCCACAGTGGCTGATGGATCAATTTGTAACTGTGTCAGACTCCTGCTGGAAAAAAAAAATCCTCAAGTGTTCACATGTCCGCATGACACTACTGTCCTCTCCTTTGACATTCATGCAAGAACAGGATGTAAATGAACTGTGCCTAAAGCTCATTCAGACTTCAAAGAGATGTTGATTTTCTCATGCATATGAACAGTTTATCCACTGGCATGTGATCTAAGGAGAGCACACAAAACAAGGAATAATGGCTCTGAATGGAAACACACAGAAGGAACTCCCAATATATAAAGAGGAAAAACATATTCCTTTTATCTATTTTATAAAACATTTACATTTCAAGAAGACAACCAAATGCATTATTAATAATAACTCCAAAAGTTTAACCCTTAATTCCTGACAAGAGTCACACAATTTTCCCTATGACCAAAATCTGCCACATTCCCAAACACAGCTATAAAATTATTATAAATTCATATTTTTTTCCACTTTAAACTAGCCAATCTTTTAGAACAACTTCTGCCTGAAATATACATATCAAATATGTCATACCTTGGACAGGACACAGAGTAGAGAATGGGGAAGTGTTCAAAGTACATGTGGAGCACACCGGCCCTGCTGTCTGCCGTGCGCAGGGACTGACAGCTAACACCTCACTCTGCTCCACCTGAGCAGGGGCTGCAGATCAACATGCTGTGGTCCTTGCACAGAAACCTCTCACATTTGCAGCATATGTGTCCCGATTTTCTCTTGGCCTTACAAAAGAAGCATGGCTTTCTGCCCGACGCCCCTGCCCCAGCAGCCCCCTGCAGCTCAGCCACCATACTTGCGGCGGCTGCTGAGTGGGGGTGGTGCACTCATCACTTGATGTGGGACATCACCAGCCCTGCTCCTACTACTTCAATAAAGAGCCTCCTTCTGTGTGACTTCTGCTGTTTCCAGGCTGGCTTGACTCGCTCTCGCTCTGCATTGATTGCATCCAAAGTTTTTCTTGCGCTGAAATATTTTGTCATCTTTCCAACTACTAATCCCACAGACTACTCCCGCACTACTGCTCATACTTATACCTTTGGCTGCAGTGCACTTGCATACACAACTCGAATGAGAACCCAAATAAAGTCCAATTTTGTCTGGGTTCTTGCTTCTCATCTTGCATCGTTTATAGAGTGCGACCTTCTAAGACAAAAGACTTATGAAGTCGGACACTCACGAACGCACCCACAACACATGGAGTGAGCATGTGCAGATCCGAGCAGAGCCAAGAGGAGTCGGCCATGTTTGGTGTTTTGTTTCTCATCTTGAATTATTATAAAACACAGAATGTGGCCTTCTAAAGGAAAACACTTATGAAGTTGTACCGTCACACAACTACTTGGTTGTTTTTACATCGCGCACGTGCATGTGTACATACTTGCGTATATTCACATACACAGACAAAAATGCATTAATATATCAACAGCAGTGATACACACTTTATCATTTTCATTCATTATTAGCAAGTCAGCCTTGCAAAAAACAGTGGAAAAAGTGTTTTGGTTTCATTTTTCGCTGCAGGCTTCGAAAATAACATCATGTCACCATCTGGTGGACAACTATCAGAATTATAAGTTGGGACCAAGTACTTCAAAATGCAACTGCAACACAGCGCAATGCATTACTTTATTGTAGGATAAATATGGCATCAAAAATAGCGTTTTTAATGTGTTTCAATGGGGCAGATTTTGGTCAAAGGGCCAATTACGTGAGTATTTTTATATCTTAGCCATTTTAGGCAAATTTAAGGAAGTTAGACCACAATTTTTAAATAAAAAAAAAAAAATCCTCCCGCCCTCCTTGAACCACCACCTTATTGTGGTGGAGGGGTTTAAGTACCCGAGTGATCCTAGGAGCTATGTTGTCGGGGGCTATATGTCCCTGGTAGGGTCTCCCAAGGCAAACAGGTCCTGGGTGACGGGTCAGACTAAGAGCGGTTCAAAAGCCCTTTATGAATATAATTCAACCAAGGACCGTGATGTCGCCCGGCATAGCGCAGCCGGGGCCCCACCCTGAAACCAGGCCCGGGGTTGGGGCTCGAATGCGAGCGCCGGGTGGTCGAGCCTCCCCTCACGGGGCCTGGCCGGGCTTAGCCCAAACGAGCGACGTGGGCCCACCACCTGCAGGAGTATCCGTACGGGGCAAATAACGTTGTCCT